GAATTAAATGCTGTATTTTTTAAAAAATAATTTAAACCAGGTTTTGTAAATTGTAAAATGAGGCTTAAGTAATGAAATTTTAAAATCTTTTAAATTTTATCAGTTAAATTTGTTATTATTTTGAATCATAAATTCAAGTTGTTTTGAACTATATTTAATGTTAAAGTAAATATAAATTATAGTGATTTAATGTTAAGTTTTTTTATAAATTCTTTAAAATTGATAGTTCTATATTTATAGTTTAGATAAAGATGTAAACAGGCTAGATTTATAACCACTCTATATCTGTTAATGTGTAAATAAAATGAAATAAAATAGTATAATTAAAGAATATATAAGTAGTTTAGTTGAGTGAAGAACATTTTTATAAACTTAGAAAATAAGCTTTAATAATATTATAAAAATTTTTAAAGAGAATTAGTTTTGATTTATTAAAGTCAGAACTTGAATTAATAATAAAATCTAATAAAAATTTAGGTTTTTTATTTGTTATTTTGTTAAAGATATAGCTATTGTTATCAGATTTATTTAAAATGATTTGTTTAAAAATAAAGTCTTTAAGATTAAATTTCAAAAGAGTAAATAGTTGTAAAGCTAGTAGTATATTAAGTTTGTTATATTGTTGCATAATTGATGTAATAGAATAGTTTTTAAATTAGTCAAAGTCTTTAGAAGTATCATGTTTTTGGATGTTTACTTTTTGTTTAAGCTATTTATTATTGTTATTTTTTTTTTTACAATTATTTAAAGTTTCTTTTATCTTAGAATTATTGTCTGATTGTTTCTTAACATTTTTAGTCTTTTTAAAAAGTTTATCTAGAAATTTTTTTAAAAAAATATGCTTATTTTCTACAAATAGTTATAAACATTTAATTTTACAATAAATACCACTTTGTTTTCAATTCATAGAACTTGTAAATTTGGCTAACTTTAGTTTGAGTTTATAGATATATGAGAATAAGTTGAAAGCCACCTACTTTAGTTTTGAATATAAGTATTTTTAGATTTAATGAGTGTTTGTTATCAGTTAGCATAATACTGGATATATTTTTAGTTTTTTAAATAATACATATATGTATATGATAAGAATATGCAAGAAATAAGATTTAATTATTAGCAACTTGTTTAATATTACTATAATAGTTAAAAAAATTGTGAACAATATTGTGTTTAGGGTAAAAAAATGATTTTGATACATTATAGAGAGATTTGTAAAGTTTGATATCAAGATTAATTTCTATTGAATTAGATAACTCAGTTGTAGTTGTAGAGATAGTATTGAAGATAGGTGACAAAAATAAATATTGTAAGACAAAATATGTATAATATTTAAAAACATCTTGTGATAATAGGTTGGATAGAATTGGATAAAAATTGTAGCCATTGTGAGTGCATATTGTGTAGAGTTGAAGTTAGATTAAAGCACTTTGAAATCTTTATAGTTTTTATTTAAAATAATTATAATTTAATTACTATATTTATTCTAAAAGATATCTAAGTCAAAAGAGTCTAGTTTAAGAGTAATGATATTAGGTATTTTATATAACTATTTTAATGTGATATTTGTATTAATATAAACTAATTTTTAAATTAAAATGAATAATCTGATTTTTAGATAAAATTTTCTAATTTGAAAGATTTACAAATAAGTTAGAAAGGATTTAAGAAATGTAAAGCTTTCAAAAAGACTAATTAGATATTTAAAAAATTTTAATAGGTATTAGAAAAGTGAATTTTCTATACAATTTAATAAATTTTTCTAAATTTATTAGTAAAATAATCTGCAAAAACAGATTTTCAATTTTGTCTTTTTTCAAATATTTTAGTGAGTTTTGATTTGTTTATAATAAAATATATATTAATATGACTGAAACAGAGAACTTGTTATTTTCTAATAGGTAACAAAGTATATTTAATTAGAAAAATAAGTAACAAATAAGTAAAAACCAAATTTTTGGTTTTTAAAACTTTTCTCAATAACCAAGTGTTGTAAAAACATAAGTCTTAATCATATAGAAGAAGAAAAGTGAGCTAAGCAACTTTACTTATAAATGCAAGTAAAGGTTTACTTAATAAAATATTAAGAAATAATTAAATGTTTTTAACAAAAATTTGATATAAATGATCTACAAAAAGAGTTATAGAATTAATTCTGTTAACATAAATCTTATATAAATTTTATATATAGTAATATTATTTCATGTTATAAATCATATATTATACATAAATTATATCTAAAACCAATAATTATAATTAAATTTTGTATATAGTTAAGATAGTAATTTTTTTGATTTAATGTGATTCCTAACCAAATAATTCACTGTTTACCTTTACAGATTTCTAAAATAAAGGATGATTAAAGTTAAATAAAATTATATATTTTTGATTATTTAATTAAAATTTGTATAAAAAATAGTTTGAAGATAGCATTAGAATATGTTTTATAAATAAAATTTCTTTCTAATATTTTTTATTAATACTTTAAAACATATTTGGATACTTGTTTTTTGTATTTTTGATATTTTTTGTGAATCATCAGACTGATCTGTGAAAATTAAAATTTTGTAACTTAACTGTAGATCACTTGAACACACCTGGCTTTAGATGATCTTCTAAAATAATCTAATACATTAATATATGTGATATATAACTTATTTATTTTGTCTCAGTAACTTGTCGATTCTGTTATTGATAATTTTTCAGATAACCTAAACTGTGATCTGTGAATGCTTATGTGCGCATGACTTATATGCACATGACTTACTCATGTACTATAATTATGATCCAAGAACTGGTCGATCTTTTTTGGCAAGTTAATTTTAACATCCTTACTAAGGAGTCACGATGATAGCTGTAAGTCAAAAATCTGAAATGAGCGATACCGGATTTTAGATAATTTTTAAATATAAAAATGAAAATGACAAATTTTATGCTAAACGATGATATTACAACCGATATCAGTATAAAATTTGTAACGAATTTTTAAAGTTCCATACTTGACAATGCTAACATTGATTAATTTGATTTTTTTTATACGTAATGACATTAAAAACCACATAGCCTATTTTGAAAACCAGCCAATAGACCGGTCCTGGACTACGGTCCTGTCCACGGTTCTGTTAGGACCAGTCTTAAGGACCAAGACCGGACAGGACGGACCGTGGCACAGATCCCCGAAGGACAAATAAATGCTTAGGATCATGAGGCACAATACATAATTGACAACTTAAACGAAATCATGATTAAAACAAGTTATAATTTGACGTATATATAATAGATGTAAAAGCCACACAATAAATCGAATAATACAACACACAATATAATACGTAGTATGGTAAATTTAGGTAATGATTATCACCGCAAATGCATGCGCACGTTAGCACAAGGTAGGAACATCCGATCAGATGCTCAGAAATGCGAACTCCACTTAACTTGCCAGTAAACCATACCCTCAGTATTTCATACTCCGTTCCTGGTATATATTAGCACTCTTATGATTATATTCGAATGTTCAACAATATCTCATCTTCGGTAATTACTTAACCTGTTCTCTGGTAAAAATATATATATATATATATATATATATATAAATAAATAGAATTATAAAAGCTTTTCTTCAGGCAATTACGCACGAATACAGAAACGTTACATGTTATATGCTTGTGATAGTAATTCGAACCACAACTCATTTGATCAATACCTGTTACAAACCGGTAAAAATACAAGCGATTTACAGGACGTACAAGCTATATTGGTTAAGGAAAAAGATCTTCATTGAACAATTTAGCCTTCCGTATATAGTTAAGAACTAGACAAATTAAGATACAATTAATTACATATCCAATCAGATGCTCGCTTTTACGTACTATACATAATTTAATTCTTCAGATACCATATACTGTATTTCGTTACATTCCGTTCCTGGTATCAGGCCGTTCGAGGTTGATTCTTCAGTTAACATCACCCTCTCCAGCTGAAGTCTCCCCCGAAAAAATGAACAACCAATGAAACCTCTGGATAACTCTTACCAATCACTTGATTTACATCGACCAATTAAATTGACTCATATTTGTTCATTTTGCATCCGAGAATTATTGAGCAATTTTTATTACTTGCTAGTAATATAAGTCGAACAATAGGTAGATTGTTTCAAAAGTTTATTCAAAAAAAAGTAGTTTATCGTAGAAGTCTTAATTAAAAATAAATAAAAAAATTGAATGCTATAATTCTATAACATATTGGCTTAAATAAATTTTAAGGTTTTACCAAAAATAAATTTTGGATTTTTTTTATAAAGTATATACGTACATATGAAAGAAATGCATGCTTCCAAGCAATCGAACAATAGGTGATTGTTTCAAAAGGTCATTCACGATAAGCAGCAGCTTATTACAAAAAAAAGAAAATATTAAAAACAATAAGAACCGTTTCTATTTGAATGCTGCAACTTTATAATATATTGGCTTAGATAACTTTTTACATAATATATGCGTATATATAAATACATACATATGAGAAGAAAATTCATGTGTCTGAGATGTATTGAGCAATATTTTTCCTTGTTAGTAACATGAATCAAACAATGAATAGATTGTTTCAAAAGTTCATTCACAATATATAGTAGTTTATTACAAGAAATTTACTAAAAATGAAAAGAATTGTTCTATTTAAATACTGCAGTTCTACAATCTTTCCTAATACATATTTCTTTTTAAGAATCTTGCCAAAAAATAAAACTTAAAAAAATTTTTTTTCACAAAGAATTACGTACAAAGAATTGCGTACGCACTTAAAGCGGCAAAATTTAAACTAAAATATTAATGACGTCAATAATTAACTAGTTTATTGAAGTCGATAATTTAAGAAAAAAATGTCCTACTTTAATTATACTAATTTTATAGGGATCACCGGATGGAAAGTTATAAAAACTTAATATTATTCTAGAGCAAAAATTTACGGTTTTCCAACCCTATTTTTTCATAAACAAGATTGATAAAACTATGACCAAGAATCTAGTAATTAAAATAGATGAAAAATGGAAGCCAATTTTAGGTGAAGAATTGCCTTTAATTGAACCTCAAGATTATGTTAAACTTGGAAAAATTATTTCACTGCCAAAGTTATCAGCTAATGAAATTCATAACAATGTTGTGAAAGTACTTCCATATATTCGGCAAAAAGTTAAAATGTGGGGAGTTGATATTCTTAATGCAGAAAACTTTAATAAAAGTTTAATCAATCATGATGAGGAAGATGAAGAATCTTATGAAGACTCTTCTGAGAGTGAATCAGAAGATGAAAAGGAAATTAAAAAAAAGAATAGATTGTCTCGATTTGATTGTATTGCTACTTTATTTGCCTCGGCTGAATGTACTGTAGTTCAGGATATATTTCGAACTATATCTAAATTTTCTATTGCGATTCCTTTATTGATGCCTGAATTAAATAAATCAGAAAAGTACCAAGTAATGTATCCTTTACTTACGGGACCAATCATTAAATGGGAAACAGGCAACGGATCGATTATAGAAAATCATCTCTTTAAAGATCCCTTTAAAATGATTGCTGCAGTCCGAATTGGAACGGGCTCTAAAGGCAAAAGTTCTATAATTAATCATTTAATGAAATCAAATTATATGTTCACGTCACGTACTGAACCAAGAGCAAAATATGGAATTTCACATATGGTTAGGGGAAGTATCGAGTTCATCTGGCTAACTGAAGAGACTTGTGGCGAATCCTTGTGGAGTGAGGTTTTTAAAGATTATTATGAAAAAAGTGAACATGGTAGCAAAAGTGGAGGAGAGATCGTACTGCTTGCAAATTTACATGGTGAAGCATTAGATTATCCTGATCAAGTTGAATTTTTAAAGCAATTTTCTTCTTGTTTCCTGGTTTACTTAATGCCAGAACATAACAAAACAAAGTTTGAAAATTTAATTAACCCTAAGAAGGCAATATATATTTATGTAGATCCTAAAAAAAGTAAAGGTATCGAAAAGAAGTACATAGTTAAGACAAATTCATTAGATGATCACGACACAATAAAGAAAATGTGCAAAACGTTTAATGAAGCGTTAGTATTAGATGATCAGATATATACAATCGATGCTGTCGAATTAAAAATGGGAAAAACGCTTCAATTTGCTGGAAATACCGAGTTTGTTGAATCTGAGCATCTGATAAACTTTATTAAGGACAAAACTTGTCTCAACATAAAACGAAATGTTATGCAGCTTCAAAAAAAGCAATTAGAAAATGGATTAAACCACATAAAATTTTGGCAACAAACAATTGAATTACAAACATTAATTCGACTATTCACTAGTATCTTAGCTTTACAACCCATCAATAAAAGAAGACAAGCTCTAGCACATCTTGAAAGAGAAGTATCTAAGCTTTCTATGGAAGAGTCTTCTAAATCTCGAAATAAAGCTATATTTAAAAGAAAAGAATTAAATAATGAAGGCATTAAAATTGATAAAGAAAAGAGTAAAAAGATCTGAAAAGAAATTAAAGAGCTTTGGGAAGAAGTTGATAACAAAAGTTTGGGCTTTGAACATTTTTTCCGAGAATCAGGACATATTTATAAAATTTTTATTTCTGACTCAGATGAAAATCCAAAAACTATTTCTGTCAATGGTCCACCTAAAGAAAATGTCTTGAGATTACCGGAATATTATGCTGAACTGCTAATTAGCGGTAATACCATAGAATTACTTGATGGTGATTCGATAACCATAAATGAGGCATGGTTATTAGCAATCTGTAATTGCATTGATAAACGATTTCCTAAACTTAGGGTTTATGTAATCAGTATACTTGGATTACAATCTTCTGGAAAATCCACCCTTCTAAATGCGCTTTTTGCATGCAAATTTGCTGTCTCAGTTGGACGCTGTACAAGGGGACTCTTCATGCGATTATTATTTTTAGAAAAAGACTTATCTAATCAACTTGATGTTGATGCTTTTATCTTGATTGACACGGAAGGACTTGGAGCACCTGAGAAAATGGAAGAAACAGAATCAGAAAAGAAAGATCGGATGTTAGCAACTTTTGCAATGGGAATTAGCAATTTAACGATTATTAACGTATTAGGAGAATCAATGAATGAGCTGACTGAAATATTGCAGATAGCAATTGTGACAATGGCACGTCTTGAAAAAGTTGGTATATCCCCTGATATAATTATGGTGCAACATGTTCCAGAGAAGAATGTGGCAAAATTAAGTGAGCCAGAGCAAAAATTTCGGAATGCACTTCAAAAAGCTTTGAAAATAGTCAAAGAGAAAGATGGCGATATAGGGTCACAAAATCTTGAATGTCTTGACATTATCGATTCAAGAATAAAAAATGGAAAACTCCTCAAACTATTTTCGTCATTCAAAGATGGGGCAACCATTTATTCTCCCCCATCGAAACAATATCATAAGGACGTTATTAGTTTGTATAATTCTATAATTGGTGATTGCGAAAATCAAAAAGAAAAAAAAAGCTTTTCAGATTGGTATAAATTAATCAAAGGTTATTGGGACGCAATATCTCATGAAGATTTTGCTCTACGGTTTAAAGATTTAAATGAAATTAATGAATTTATTAAACTTGATAAACAAATCACAATGTTGAAAGGAACTATTGACATAGCATTTTCAGCACATAAAGAATCGATAAAAGAAGAAATTCGATCTGTCGCACAGAAAAATTTTCTAAATAAAGATAGTAAAGACATAAATAATGATCTAATCCGAGAAAAATGTCACCGATTGATAGAAAATGAGTTAAATAAAGTATCAAATTTTAAAAATCCGAATCATTGCGAAAAATGTAAGGAGGTGATTGAAAAGCGAATCGAATTAGATCAATACCTTGAAAAGAATAAGAATAAGTATAAAGAGGAAACTAATCAAACGATTGATAAGTATATTGATAAGTGTCACGATTCAATATTTATAGAGCTTAAACAAATGCTTGAAGCCATTTTAATGCGAAATAAACTTTCAAACGATCATCAAAATTTTATTGACAAGCAACTTGAAAACGTTTTAAAAATGCGGAAGGAATTTTCTAATAAAACAGATCGTGAACAAGAAGCCAATAAAATATGGAAATCGTTATACGATAAAATATCAATATCACTAAAAAATAATGACTCAACTATTGATGAAAAAATACAGAATGAAGTATTTGAGGTATATAGACATTATAATAATTCGGAATTTTGGAATAGTTATTACGATAAAATTGTTCCTGATCTATCTAAAATAAGTGCATATGAATTGATTGACCGAGTTAAATATTTAAAGTTGTCATCGTATTTAGATTCGAATAACATAACGGTACTCAAAGACAAAATTAATAGTATGATAAATCAAAATTTAAGCAGAGTAGATCATTTTCGTAGTGGAATCGTGCGTGAACTTAAAGGCGAAATAGATAATATCTTGAATGAACGTTCAGCTTTCTTGAAAATTGACATTAAGCCTAAATTTAAAATGAATGTTCACGTATATGCATTATTGCATTTTATTAAAAGAATGGTAATAATTCAGAACAAATGGGATAAGGACAATACACCTCTTGGAGTGCTTAACCAAAAGAAAGATGAGTATTTAAAAAAGATTAATATTCGTCTTCAATACGGACATTCACATATATCTGAAGGTCATATTGCAGGAGACTTTTTGTTGAGAGCAATTCAAAAAAAAAGCGATAAATGCAGAAAATTGTGATCGAATAAATTTTATACGCGGCAAAACTTGGATAAACAGTCCCAGAACAGTTAGACTTAAGTATTTCATTGAACTTGCTGAACAAGTTCATAATGGTAACTTAAATAAAGGTGTTCAGCACTTTTTAAGACCACGTGGAAGTATTGAAGAGTGGTTTAAAAGTAAAGTTAATTTAGATGAAAGAACAAATCAAGGACAAAGTTATAAAGAAACCTTTGACACTGAATTTAATGATGTTCGTCAGAAAATTCATAATTGTAGAAGTTACGAAGATGTTAAAAAGTTTTTAAACCAATATATGATACAAGTTGACGGCATTGAATACCAATTGAATGTTAAAGATAGTTCAATTGATGAAAATTTTACATTATTCCGTGAAGCTATAGAGAAAGAGCTTGATGCAGAGAAAGAGCTTAATACTAGAGGAAATGGCAGTTATCAATTAAAAAATGAATTATTAAAAAAACCATCTGATGATAATTTAATCATGAATAATATCGGGTGCACAGCACCATGTCCCTGGTGTGGAGCTTTGTGTTGGGGAGTAAGAGGCCATGAAATATCTGATGTTGGCATGACAAAAATTCATCATACTAGTCATCAGCCACCAGGTCTTAATGGGGTTAGTTTTTACGGCACAAATACACTTACTGCAGAGGCATGCCATAACTATTTAGATGAAAGTGATGTATATCTTTGTGGCAAGTCTAAAAAATGGAAAGTTTATAAAACTCAAGATTACCCAAATTGGAAATTTGAAACCCACAGCATGAACGTTTTTAATGATATTATGCGTTGGTTTTTTCAAATGCTTCATAATGGTATAGCACAAGCTCGAGACCTTAAGCCAGCAGATATAACAGAATTAAAAGAAAATGGCTGTTTTTGCAATGATTACAATAACATAATCAGCGTATTAAAGCAAGAATTTGACTAATCTCTATATATCTATAGCATTTAATACACTAATTGTATTGTATAATAACCTTTATTTTAGCTTGATATATATTTTTTTTTAAGTGGGTTAAATTGTGATTAGTATCGAAGCCACAAGAATATTATGCGCTATTGTAGTGACAGAGGCTTAGAAATATTGAATTGATTTAATGTTTATTAAATTCGACATTTTTATTTATTCTTATAATTAGATTTATTTGTTTGCTTATCAGGAAAAAGGATTTAATCTAATCCAAAAGACTGTATACAGCTGGAAGTTTAAAACTATAATTTACGATAAAAGCAAATTTTGCCAGTTTAATTTACTTTTCCAATTAAGATCTCTAAAATTTAAAGATAGGACATTATGAAGACTTCCTCTATTTGCATATTGAAATACTATCAAATATTCGTTATGAGTTGTGTCTTGGGTTTAGTCCATACACTTCAAGATTATTACCCACTAATCTAAATTCTGCGTAAACTTTTAAACTTGTTATTTTGAAACAAATTTACAATGTTAATAGTTTATAATTTATTTATATTAGAAACCATTTTAACATACTTCTCTTAAAAATTCAAGGTAAAGTTTTAAGTGCAACTACAAATGATGTTGAACGTGATCGTGTGAGCTTACCAGAAGTATATGAAACTGTTCTTTACCATCTAACCACATTGCGGAAATATAGTGCCAAATCCTCCTTTACCAATCATTTGAATATTAACTAAACTATTAAAAGGAATCCATTAGATTACACCTACGTGTTTTGTAACTTTAAGTTGAAATTCATTAATACACTCGTCAATATCCCTATTTTCACTTGTTCATCATTGTATTGATTTTTAAGGGTTGCATGTTTGGCACCAAATGTAAGATGTGTTATATTGTTTGCAATTTGCACATGTCCTATTGTTTATATCTCTTTTATTATAAAATTCATCAAATACTATCATATCTCATTGTTTGCATTGCTTTGAGTTAGTCCATATACTTTAAGATCACTATTCTTTAACTGTACATAATCTGTAATCTTATTAAAGTTCAAATCTACTGTATATTAAAGCTATATATATAGTGTAACAATGATAAATTATTAATATTTTAGCTTACTTCTTTTAACATATCTGATAAACCTCGTGCTCTGTTTAATATTTTAAACTTCACTTTACATGATGGTATACGTGACTGTGTATATTCATATTCACCATTTTCAATTTTATATTCATAATTTAGAACTCCATCTAACCAGGTTACTAAAACTTTATTGTCAATATTTTGAATATTAGCTAAACTATTAAAAGGAATCCATTCGATTATACTATGATATGATGTAGCTTTAAGTTGTAATTCCTTAACGCACTCGTCGATATCCTTATTTCTGCTTTTGGCACCAAGCGTAAGATGTGTTATATCACTTGCAATTTGCATATGTTCCATTATCTTTATTTTTTTTAGAATCAAATTTGCAAATACAACATACTGTATATTCATTTGTTACAATGTTTTGAGATAAACCGTAAATACTTCTATCCTATAATTGGTTTATTAATTGCTATATTAAATATACCAGGAACGAATGTGTGGATTATATAATGTTTGAAGTCGTGAAATCTTAAGTTTGATTGGTCCACGTGATTTATTCATCAAATTTTGGTTATTTTTCACACATGAATTCATCATGCATATAGATCATTGGATATACAGGATATGTAATAATTTGAACGCAAAAAAATGCAAATGTAAACGATGTCGTGGTTGTAATAACTAACGACAGTAAAGCATGAATTTTAGACTCAAAAATTGATAACTCAAAACAGATTACTGTATAGTTCCGAAATTAAGCACATCCCGAAAATAAGCACCCCTGGCCCACACTATGCAAAATTTGGCCTGCATTGTAAAAATTTTGGCCTGCATTACATGCAAAAAAGGGGTGCTTAATTTCGGAACTATACGGTAACTAGGTCTCAGGCTCGGGCGTTGCTCCGAGGCTAGGTCTTAAGTGTTTTATTTTTCTTTGTTAATTTATTTTTTCAATTTGTATTATTTTTTATTTTTTAATTTTTTTAATTTATTTATTTTTTATTAATTGTTTTTTATTTTTTATATTTTTGCTTTTATTTTTTAGTTTAATTTTTTAATTTTTTTTAATTTTTAGTTTTTAATAGTTTTTAATTTTTTAATAGTTTTATTTTTTAGTTGTTTTAATTTTTTAATTTTTATATTTATTATTTATATTTTTTATTATTTTTATTTTTTATTTCATTTTTTTAATTTTTTAATTGTTTTGTATTTTTTGTTTTTTTATTAATTTTTTTGTTTTTTTAATTTAATTTTTATATTTTTGTTTTTGTATTTTTTATTTATTTATTTATTTATTTATTATTTTGTTATTTAGTTATAATTCGCTTCAGAAAAGTTACATGAATCACTGGATTCCGATTTTGCATCATAACAAATTTTAAATATAAGTATATTTTTATAAGCTGCCAGAAGCTGCCACATATATATATTACGCTTTGTGCATGACATTATGCAAGAATTAAAAGTCAGTTAGACAGATTAAAAAAAAATTAATTTACCGTTTACATCCCGCTTACATGAGATGTAAACAGTAAATATCAGATTATTAATTTTTGCATAGCGTCATGCACAAAGCATAATATACCTTTTCAACAATTTAACAACAATGTTGTTGATTCAACAACAACGTTGTTGTTGATAAAACATAGAACAATCTTATATAGTCATCTTCTCTATAATTTCTATAATCACATCAGTCGTTATCATATTCTGTACTCAAGAACAAATTAGTAATAAACATATAAAAAAGGGAATTGATATTTACACACCCTTTTTTGATATTGCCACACCCCTGCTAATAAAAATCAATATAAATTATTAGGGTTTTGGTTAGTTTAGAGTATGCAGGGGTGTGGCAATATCAAAAAAAGGTGTGGAAATATCAATTCCCTAAAAAAACTACCTCTATATAAGCACAACTAGATGGGTTGGTCAGTCATTTTTGACCAACCATTTTATGACAGTTAGTCATATCTTGAGATCCAATGATCCAAATCCGATGATTTTGATACCATTCAATGTCTCATCTAATTGTATCAGAAATCACCCGATTTGGATCATTGGATCTCAAGATGTGGCTAATAGTCATAAATGGTTGACCAAAATGACCGACCGAACACATCCCTAAGCACAACCCCTTTGTAATCAAATTTTTATAAGTAAAAAATGTGTGATTATATAGAGGGTTAACCATATTGATTTCACATCTTTTTTAAAGATGATAATAATAAAAAATTAAATGCAAGATATATGCCTTTTCGAATGAAATGATTATATATAATCGTACCTCTAAGCATGCACCCTCTAAGTGCAAGTACTATGTTGAGCTTCTCTAAATACACGATACAGTTAGATCTAACTTATAAGAACTCTATGTATCTCTATAAGTGCAAACCTCTTCTAGGTGAAAAAATTTTCATTTTTTTTCACTATGGTCCCAATGGGATCATTTAGGAAGATGCGACAGTATTTGGAATTTACAATAGAACAGCCACTTAGGTAGCACAATTTATGTTCATGTAATATTAGACCAAAGCCAATTCATATAACTAGGGTAAAATTATTTGATTGACAAGTTGAAATACTTGGCTGGGATAAAATAATTCATGAGTGAAATTTGCAAGAGGGATTGAAATGACTACTCATAATGATAATTTCCTTTGAATACTTAAAACGTTTGTCAATCAATAATATGAAATATATCTTAATGTTTTATTATACTTCATAATCTTTAATAATTATATCTAGAAATGTGCATTGTGTGAGATAAACCTATATCTCACATATTACGCGATCTGTGCAATCAATTATTACAATAGACATTCCAAAAAGCAAAAATTATATTTAAGCATTAACAGTTTTCAGTGATAAATTGAAATATTTACTTAGCCTTCATAATAAACTGACCCATTGCATTGACGATAGTCATGCAAGGGGTATTATCGTGAGGATGATCTCTAATCTGTGAATTAGCCTTGCATAACCTGAGTTAGGTATTTTATGGAAAATGGGCAGAAGATAATCTTTAGTGCTTCATTCTTTCGCTGCCTGATTGATATCTGGCTCTTAGTGTTTAGCGCTTGTCGTGGAAAAAAAAAAAAAAAAAAAAAAGAAAAAATGTCAGACTCGAATATATCAAAAAACGACTTATCAGACATTTGCCATAGTTTAGGCATATCCACTGAAGGGAATAAAGCAGACCTTGTACAAAGGTTAAAAGAATACCAAACAAATGAATCCCATGAGAATAATGTGGACAGAATAAAGTTCACAAATGATAAGCCTGATGATGAATCGGTAATATCTGACTACCATACTGAAACCACTGAAATATTAAGTCCTGAAACACAAATGTAAAGAGAATTACTTCAGAAGAACAAGCACCCATTACATGCTGCACCATTATCGCTTTCCCTCCAAGATGCAGAAGAAACAACTGACCACCCAAAGCAGACAAATAAGATGGTTAAAAAACAGAAATTACAAGCTGAAGAAGAAGATAATTCTAACTCATTAATTAAGAAAGTATTATCAGGGTTCCAAAAATTAGAAAATGCCATGCTAAGTTTTGATGACAAATTGAATACAATGGCACACCAAGTCCAGAAGACACGTAATAAAGCAGAGGTTAAGAAAGCTTGGCCAAAACATAAGTTTGAGAAGCATCGTGATCAACATGAGTACAATACACTATGCCAAATCAGAAGGGAACTTGACTTAACTATGGACTCCAGAACTATGACCGACATAGCAAGTCATATTGAGGCTGCAAAGGAGTTAGTAGGAAATAGAATGTTTACCTTGAGGGTAGCTGACAGTTTTGATTAGAACATTGCATTGGCCTTACCTGATACTCAGTATGATTGGCTAAAGGGTAAAGACAATATAATTGAGAAGGCAAAGGCATTAGTTGAAGTGAAAAAGCACAAAAAACAAAAGTCCTATGACTCAGTTAAACCAGTAGAATATTGGTGCTGGGGGTATAATTACCAAGGTGGAAATCTGAATGGTCACAAGGATAGCTATTCAGATGGCTCTCAGAAGTTTTTGTCAAAACTTCCAATCCAATAACTACACGTTATCATCCTCAAAAAAGTGCTTTATCTGCGGAGGTTATGGCCACTTTGCAAACACCTGCTTCTCAAATCCAAATAAAACATCAACTCAACAAGAATATCGAACTGGATATAAATCAAAATGATACTCAGCTTACAGAAATCAATACAACAAACCACAAGACCACACTAGATATGAGTGACTACACTCGGGCCTAGCAGAAACTACAAGTAATGGGACACATTCACCTAGAAATTCATGTACAGTATTGAATAAAAAAGATACAAGCTTCAGAGCTAGTAATCAAATGATTAAAGGAAGGAGTTCCTTTATTTTCAAAAGGCCTATTAGAGTTGACAATGCAACCAGACCCACCATAGTACTCTCTAACAGAAGACCAGCTCATCTGGTTAAATTCAGAGATAGAAAGGTTAATAAAAGAAGAGGCAATATCTTTAGTAGTAGTATCAGAAAACAGACCAGTATACTTACTAGAAATAAGTCCAATTTTCTTAGTCCCAAAAGTGGGCCCAAAGAAATGGAGATTGATTATAGATCTCAGATGTTTAAACAAAATGTTACCCATAAAACTATTCAAGTTTGAAGGATTTGGAACGTTTTTACGTATGATAGGGAAAAATTGGTGAATGATCATATTAGACTTAAAAGATGGGTATCACCATATACTAATGGAAGAGGGAGCTCAAAGACTTCTAGGATTCAGGATACAATCAAACTGGTACCACTACAGAGTGTTACCTTTTGGACTAAGCCAAGCAGTATGAATATTTTCCAAAGTCATAAGAGCGTTAATAGGACATTGGAGATCAAAAGGGATAATTTGTGGAAATTATGTAGATGATATCTGGGTTGCACACCCATGCCAGAAAGTTTTGTTATATATAAGAGACTTAATCATATTGGAAGATCTAAGAAACTGTGGATTTGTTGTAGCAGAAAAAGGTCATTTAGATCCTGCACAAAACGTGAAGTACCATGGAATGGTATTAGACACAGTAACAGGAATGGTTACAGTGCCAAATACCAAGATCAACGATGTAATACATTGTCTACAAAATGTTCTAGTCAAAAAGCATCTCACTGCCCCACATCTCTCTTCTGCTACAGGAAAGCTAATAAGCTTAAGCCATGCTTTCAAATATGTGAAAGTTCGTTTTCTAGAACTATATTTAATTATAAATGCAGAATGCAGAAGGCCCTGGGAATGGGACAGTACAGTTCAACTATCACATCAGGCAAAAATGGATATCAAATGGGTAATAGAAAATCCAAAAACAAAAAATAGAAGTCCGACATGGAGACTGTCACAAATAATTCCAGTATTTGTAGACGCATCTACAACAGAGTGGTCAGCAACCTTGGGGGCATGAAAAGCTTTTGGAAATTGAGAACATTGTCACAGACATACAGATATTGCAGTTCTCGAGTCACTTGCAACTTTATTAGGCCTAGAATCCTTCACCTCAATCATTGCACATTGCTACATAACAGTCTTTATAGACAACCAAGTAGCCAGAAAGACAGTAGAGTCAGGTGGGAAAAGGCCATGGCAAAAAGAAATAATGTGCGAAATATGGGATTTTTTGCAACTTGTATGATATCAGAATTCATGAATTTCAATGGGTTCCATCAATCCTAAATCCAGCAGACAAACTAATGAGAATGTTCGACGAATTAGACTGGTCACTAAACCAAGTATTATTCAATTTACTAAATGAGAGATGGGGACCATTTACTATAGATCGTATAACGAGTATTCAAACAAGAAAAGTAAAATGCTACAACAGCCGTTTTTATGGCCCAGAATCAGAAGCAGTAGACTGCTTCACCCAAGACTGGAGCAATGAAATCAATTACGTTTGCCCTTCTTTAAGTTTAATTCACAGAGTTTTAGAACATGAATCACAGACACAAACTACAATAATATTAATTACTTCAATTTGGGTCTCGGCTCCCTGGTGGCCCCTACTGCTTCAACAGCAAATCAATCTAATAAATCTACCTCCAGCAACCCAGAGTTTTATACCATGCCAAGGAGGAAACTTACTACCAGAACCATAGAAAAATCTACTATGGCAGTTTCAAGCTGTAAAGATATCTTTTTAGACTCTTTATTTTCAAGAGCACAACAACTTTTACTGCCAAAATCTGCATTTGAAAAATGTTTGCACAATTTATGGAGTGAATTTGAAGATTTTTGTGTAGTTTATGGTTTGGTCTCTTGCCCAGTGGAACCAAATACAATTATAATCTGTTTAACATGGACAGATTTATTGTCGAGATCTATGAAACCTCGGTTTTACTTGATAGCTATTAGTCATTATCATCAGAGGCTAGGATTGGACGATCCAACACAGGATTTTAATGTAAAAAGTTTAGTTCGGACCCTAACAAAACTTGCAGCAAATGAAAAAGAGGCCACATGGCCACGTGATCCCCTACCAATAGATGCTTTGAAATACTATGTTGACCACCCACCTCCAAATACCTCACACACAATTTGGAAAAGGAACTGTGCTATGATAGCACTTGGCTTACGTACTATGAGACGACCAGCTGAGTTATGTAATCTGAAAGTAGGCGATTTAAAAATGCTTGATGGGACATGCTGGGTTAGAATAAACAAGTCAAAGACAGATCAGTTCGCAAAAGGAAAATTCATACCAGTAGATCCTATGAATTCGCCATATTGTCCAGTCAGATTAACCTATGAGTATTTGGGAATGAGAGGCATTAGGAAAGATAGTGATTGGTTGTTTGTCAACGTATTAGGTAAACACATGACAACGGGAACAGTAAGCGCAGTAGTTAAGAAAATAGCCCACAATGCAAACTTAAATGGTAAGTATTCAGGTCACAGTATGCGTATTGGTGGAGCTACAGAAGCAATGAAGGCAGGGCTGACATTACCTCAGATTATGAGCATTGGGGGGTAGCTATCTCAATCGGTGGCACTCTATCTTAGGTCATTTTCAACCATATTACAAAGTACCTCAGTGAGAATGGGGTTTTAAAAAAAAAAAAAAATTAATAATAATAATAATCATATATATATATATATATAATAAATAATATATATACATATATTATATACATTTATTATTATCATTGTGCATAGACAACCTAACCTACCTTCGATCCTCTTTCTCTCCCATATTGTTTTTCATAATAAAAGCTATCCGAGCGAGAATAATGACCCATTGCATTGACGATAGTCATGCAAAGGGTATTATCGCGAGGATGATCTCCAATCTGTGAATTAGCCTTGCGTAACCTGAGTTAGGTATTTTATGGAAAATGAGCGGAAGATAATCTTTAGTGCTTCATTCTTTCGCTGCCTGATTGATATCTGGCTCTTAGTGTTTAGCCCACCCTCCTCTCTCAAAAAAAAAAAAAAAAAAAAAAAAAGTAAAAGGATAAAAAGATGTACTAAGGATCGCTACACCTGCGCATGAGCATCCTTAAGACTCGCTACACCTTTGCGTGGGCATCAACTTAAATTTGACAAAGTCCTGACTTCAGAACGTAACAAAACTTTGACTTCAGTAGGTAACTATAAGGATCGCTACACCATCGCGTGGACATCCTTGAGAATCGCCACACCCTTGCGTAGGCATTATCTTAAGTATGGTAAAGGCCTTACTTCAGAACGTGACTATGATCGCTGCACCATGCGTAGGCATCATCAAAGTTATAGAATTAAATATTGCTAGGATCGCTAAAGCATTCCTCAAAAAAAAAAAAAAAAAAAAAAAAACAAAAACAACAAGATATAAATAGATAAGGACAGAAAAATAAGTGAATAATGTAGGATAGTTTCCCTTTAACCACGACTTGCATTCTATTCTCTTTGTAATTTTCGTCACGTGAAATGCGTGACTTGCAGCGGAGAGCACTACTCCCATATTGTTTTTCATAATAAAAGCTATCCGAGCGAGAATAAATGAAAAGACATTTGTATGATTGGCTATTAATTTCAATTGAACTTTATATTATTTATACAGTTTAAAATACCATTACAAAAAACAATAACAGCACAAATATATAAATAAGAAGGATGTTTTATTAGAGTCATAGTAATGACTTCTCAGATGGATAAAATAATATTACTACTTTGATACCTTTTTTAAAAAGTAAGAGATAAAATACTTAGAGTTCTACACTCTAATAAAACTTTCTACATATGTTTTCTTTTTATTGTGTGTTGTTTTTTTATAAAAGTGCTTTAAACATTATAAATTCAATTAAAATTAATAGCCATGTACGAATGTTTCACTATGAAATTAATCTTACCAACTCCATGTTGGTCCCTCAAATGATGTGCTAATATACATCTCTAATTACATTTTCTAATCTTTTCGTATTAATCCTTCATTATGCCACTTTCCAAATATTAGTATTGCGCCTTAATCCCTCATGTACTCTTTCCAATATTTTCATTGCGCCTTTCCCAATTTTTTCTTGCGCCCCATCCCAAATGTTTAACTTCGCCTCTTTTTAATTTCTCATCACGCCTCTTTCCAATACTTTACTGCGTCCTTTGCAATCTTTTTTATTATGCCCCTTTCCAATCTTTTCATTATGCTCTTTCCAATATTTTTATTGCGCCTTTTCCAAATATTGGTGTCGCACTCTAATCTCTCATGCAATCTTCCAATATTTTTATTGCACCTTTCTCAATATTTTCTTTCACCCCGTCTCAAATGTTTAATTTCTCCTCTTCTTATTCTTTCATTGCGCCTTTTACCGTCTTTTTTATAATCCCTATTCCCAATCTTTTCATTCTTCCCAATCTCTCATGCACCTGTTCTAATATTTTCATTGTGCCTCATTGCACCCCTCCCAAATGTTTTCATTCGCTCTTTCATTGTGCCCCTTCCTAATATTTATAGGACTCTTTCAATAAGCTTTAATCCTTTATGTATTTTACATTAGATACAGTATCAGAGATGGTATCTCGGCAATACGACAATAATACTGATAAACAATATAGCAAGTTTAATAGCCACATTGATTATGTAAATAAATTACGTCAGCATATCTAGAAAATTATAAATTGCCGATATTTTTATTCTTTTTCTTCAGCCTTCTGCTTATTTTTTTTTTAAAGAAAAAAAAATATATCGTTTTCAAAATTCAAAATGTTGTCAAAATTTTATTTAAAATTTATCATTGCCGCTTTGGCTTTTATTACAATTGTCATCAGCCCTGCCCTTTCTATGCCCAACAAACGTTCAGAAAAAGTATGGTTTCTGTTATTGTTGATAAAAATTCATACATGAATTAGAACCTTACAATTAAATAAACCTTCTGCGATTAATTATATACCGCATAAATTAAATGAAATTATTAGAGAGTGATTATAAAAATTAACTTATGAATTAAAAGCTTTGAAATTAAATAAACTTCATTAATTGTATATAATTAAATTATTAGAGCGTGAGTATAAAATAAATTTATAAACTGAAAATTTAAAATTAATCGAAACTTCCCTAATTGTATATAAATTAAATTATTAGATCGTGAGTATGAAATAATTTTATAAATTAAAAACATTAAAATTAAACAAAACTTCGCTAATTGCATATAAATTAAATTATTAGGACGTGAGTATGAAATTAATTTATAAATTTAAAAACTTTAAAATTAAACAAAACTTCGCTAATTGTATATAAATTAAATTATTAGCTCGTAAGTATAAATTAAAAACTTAGAATTAAACAAAACTTAGTTAATTGTATATAAATTCAATTATTAGGACGTGAGTATGAAATTAATTTATAAATAAAAACTTAAAATTAAACAAAACTTCGCTAATTGTATATAAATTAAATTATTAGACCGTGAGTATTAAATTAATTAATAAATTAAAAAAAAACTTTAAAATTAATCAAAACTTCCTAATTGTATATAAATTAAATTATTAGAACGTGAGTATAAAATTAATTTATAAATTAAAAACTAAAAATTAAACAAACCTTTGCTAATTGTATATAAATTAAATTATTAGCCCGTGAGTATGAAATTAATTTATAAATTAAAGGCTTTGAAATTAACAAAACTTTCTAATTGTATATAAATTAAATAATTAGTTCGTGAGTATGAAATTAATTTATAAATTAAATTAATCAAAACTTCGCTAATTGTATATAAATTAAATTATTAGGACGTGAGTATAAAATTATTAAGACAGGTGAAACCTGAGTTGTTTAGGGTGTGATCTGCATCAATAAAATCCCAACTCATTCACCCTGTCGTAAATTAATTAAAATAAAACCAAACTTCGCTAATTGTATATAAAATAAATTATTAGTATGTGAGTATGAAATCAATTTATAAATTAAAACTTTAAAATTAAACAAAACTTCACTAATTGTATATAATTAAATTAGGTCGTGAGTATGAAATTAAATTAAAAACTTTTAAAATTGATTCAGACTTGTTAATTGTATTATAAAATTAAATTATTAGGGTGTGAGTATAAAATTAATTTCTAAATTAAAAACCTTAAAATCAGACAAAGCTTCGCTAATTGTATATAAATTAAATTATTAGGACGTGAGTATAAAATTAATTTATAAATTAAAACTTTGCTAATTAATTATATAAAATAAAATTATTAGGCAGTATGAAATTAATTTATAAACTATAAACTTTAAAATTAAACGAAACTTCGCTAATTGTGTATAAATTAATTATTAGGAAGTGAGTATGAAATTAATTTATAAATTAAGAACTTCTAAATTAAGCTTTTACTAATAAATTTCATTTTTTAAAAATTTATTATTACGCGGCTTTTTTATCATCAACTCTGTTCTTATACCTACTAAGCGTTCGGAAAAAGTATAGCTTCATGTTATTTTATGTTCAATAAAATGTTTAATTTTACATTATTTATATTAATCTACGATTATATAATCATTAGAGAGTGGGTATAAAAATCTAGTTTATTAAGAAATAAATACTTTAAAAAAAAATTAAAGTTTTCAATTATATATAAATTATTAGCAAGTGAGTATGAAATTAATTTATAAATTATAAACTTTAAAATTAAACAAAACCTCGCTAATTGTATATTAATTAAATTATCAGTCCGTGAGTATGAAATAAATTTTATAAATTAAAACTTTAAAATTAAACAAAAACTTGCCAATTGTACATAAATTAAATTATTAGTTTGTGAGTATGAAAGCAATTTATAAGATAAAAGCTTTAAAATTAACCAAACTTCGCTAATAGTATATAAATTAAATTATTATAGGACGTGAGTATGAAATTAATTTATAAAGTAAAAACTTTAAAATTAAACAAAACTTCGCTAATTGTATGTAAATTAAATTATTAGACCGTGAGTATGAAATTAATTTATAAATTAATAACTTTAAAATTAAACAAAACTTCGCTAATTATGAATAAATTAAATTATTAGAAAGTGAGTATGAAATTAATTTATAAATTAAGAACTTTAAAATTAAGCTTTACAAATAAATGTCAAATTTTGTTTTAAAATTTATTATTACGCGGCTTTTTATCATCAACTCTGCTCTTATACCTACTAAGCGTTCGGAAAAGGTATAGCTTCATGTTATTTTATATTCAATAAATGTTTAATTTTACATTATTTATATTAATCTACGATTATATAATCATTAGAGAGTGGGTATTAAAATCTAGTTTATTAAAAAAATAAATACTTTAAAGAAATTAAAGTTTTCGATTATATATTAATTATAGCAAGTGAGTATGAAATTAATTTATAAATTATGAACTATAAAATTAAACAAAACTTCGCTAATTGTATATTAATTAAATTATTAGCCCGTGAGTATTAAATAAATTTTTAAATTAAAAACATTAAAATTAAACAAAGACTTGCTAATTGTATATAAATTAAATTATTAGTTGGTGAGTATGAAATTAATTTATAAAGTAAAAACTTTAAAATTAACCAAACTTCGCTAATAGTATATAAACTAAATTATTATAGGACGTGAGTATGAAATTAAATTAAACAAAACTTCGCTAATTGTGTATAATTTAAATTATTAGTGGGTGAGTATGATATTAATTTATAAATTTAAACCTTTTTTTAAATTAAACAAATTTTACTAATTCTATATAAATTAAATTATTAGAGCGTGAGTATGAAATTAATTTATAAATTAAAAACTTTAAAACTAATCAAAACTTTGCTAATTGTATATAAATTAAATTATTAGTGCGTGAGTATGAAATTAATTTACAAATTAAAACCTTTATAATTAAATAAAACTTAGTTAATTGTATATAATTATTAGTGCGTGAGTATGAAATTAATTTATAGAATTAAGTTTTTAAAATTAAACAAAACTTTACTAATAAATTATATAAATTGAATTATTAGCGTGTGAGTATGAAATTAATTTATAAATCAAAAAACTTTAAAATTAAACAAAACTTCGCTAATTATATACAAATTAAAATATTAGAGAGTGTGTATAAAATTAATTTATTAATTAAAAGCTTTAAAATTATACAAAGCATCGCTAATTGTATATAAATTAAATTATTAGGGCGTGAGTATGAAATTAATTTATAAATTACAAATTTAAAATTAAGCAAGACTTCGCTAATTATATATAAATTAAATTATTAGAAAGTGAGTATAAAATTAAGTTATAAATTAAAAACTTTAAAATTAAACAAAACTTCACTAATTGTATATAAATTAAATTATTAGTGCGTGAGTATGAAATTAATTATGGAATTAAAAGTTTTTAAAAATAAACAAAATTTACTAATAAATTATATAAATTGAATTATTAGTACGTGAGTATGAATTTAATTTATAAATTAAAAGTTTTTAAATTAAACAAAACTTCGCTAATTGTATATAAATTAAATTATTAGGAGGTGAGCATGAAACTAATTATAAATTAAATAAACAAAAGTTTGCTAATTGTATATAATTAAATCATTAGTGGGTGAGTATGAAGTAACTTATACATTAAAGACTTTAAAATAAAACAAAACCTCCCTAATTGTATATAAATTAAATTATTAGTGGGTGAGTATGAAATAATTTATAAATTAAAACTTTAAATTAAACAAAACTGTACTAATAAATTATATATAAATAATTAGTGTCCTTAGATCGTGAGTACAAAGTTAATTTATAAATTAAAAACTTTAAGTAAAGCTATACTAATAGATTATATTATAAACAATTTAAGTAATCAGTGTTAGATTGTGAGGATCGTGAGTATAAAATTAATTTATTAATAGAAATCTTATTTACAATTATGCATCTCTAATCAATTATCTACAAATTATACTATTATTGTCTGTAAATATAATTAGTTTATAGTATATAGTTTATATATATGTATACTAAATTTATTTTATAAAGTTTAAGTCAAAAATGTGAGTCATATTAATTAATATTTAATTTGTGTTGCGTAACGCAATTAAATATATCCCGACATACCATATGAAAATTTTAATTGTAACCATATATTAAATATATTAAATAATATTTTTGTAAATAAGGTTATAATTATTTTTTAAATATTAAGTTCTAATTTTGACACTTTAATTAACGTGCACAAATACGATCTCTTATAATTGCACCCGCAAAATCAAATCAAATATTTTAAATATATAATCAAATCTTAAAAGAATTTTATTATTTTGTGAATATGCATTATTACTAGTGATAGGATTCTTTTATCTGTATTCACTTTATCATCCGTGGTTAACTCTTACAGATAATTGGGATAGACTAGACCAAATTAGTAGTTCTGATTATAGTTTCACATTTATATTGAGTCTTAAATATTCCAAGATTATAATGTATACATTGGGTTATACTTGATATTTTTTATAGCTAACAACTTAAATCAATTATAAATTTTATGAATTTTTTTAGCTTCTATGATTACAGTATTATTTTCTTGCCTGTAATATAATTTTCAACATACTAATTTAATAAATTTAATAATTATACCATTTTTACAAAAAAAAACAAACTAAAAACTAGAAAAATAAAGAAAAATAATAAAATTTGTTGCATTATAATTTTTATTTATCATTTTATTGATTACTAATTATATAAATTTCTTAATAATTGAATTTTTTTTAATATTAAGTTGAGTACTTGCAACTTAGGCTTTTATTAATAGTATATTTCAGCTTTGTGATTGTATTACAACAGTCATAGAAGGCAACTATAAGAAGAGTGTACAACTAGTTACTCGTACAATTTTAGTCATTGTCTAATTTAAGTAGTCTATCTAAAGGTCTACTATACCTAGAATCTATCTTAGCACTTATATATGCAAGTGTATTTACAAATATTATAAATATTAATATTTATAAATAAATGTTTTAAGTACTTTTTAATTGAATATATAATTTAACAAATAAGTATCCAAAATTTTATTATATTTATAAAGAAGATTAGAAATGTATTATTAATAATTTTGATTAAGCTCAAGCTAAAAAATTAGTAATTATTTTAAATAAATTAGAAAAATCTTTAAATTAAAAAGAATATCTATTACATATTTTTAAAAATTGTAAAATTTATTATAATTGTTATATTAAAATTTCTTTTGTTTTTAAATTATTATATTTAATTTAATTTTAATTTTTTATTTAAATTAAAGCAATATTAAAAATAATAGATATTTAATTCAAATTAAATATTTAATATATAAATTATCTGATGTATCACCTGATAGAGTAAATAAAATATTTAAATTATTATTAAAATTAAAAGTAACCAAAATTAAAGGTAAATAAATAAAAATAATTTATATTTATATTTATATTTATATTTTATAATTAAATTAAATTAAATTGTTTTTTTTATAAATTAAATTAATTTTTATTCAACATTTTGAATGAAAGCTTTATTAAATTCAACTTATTTTTTTATTAATTTTGATATTAAGTATATAACTTTTAATAATTTTAATGTTGCAGAATTATATTATATAAATATTAATTGAAATGGCAAAACATTGTTATTATTTAATGCAATTATTAAGTAAACTTTTTATTATTATTTAGTTTAATTTAATTTTATTTAATTTTATTAATAATTTTATTTATTTAAATTTAAAGCTAAATAATATGATAAACAGCATTTTATAGATTGTTATATATAAAATATTTATAGAATTTATAATACTAAAAAAAATTCAAAGAAATTAAAGAACAAATATATAAATTTTAAATTTAAAATTTATAATAATGTATATATTTATTTATTATATTTATTTAAATATTTTAAAAGCAAATCAACAAAAACTCAAATTAAAAGGTAAATCTAAACAAGTAACTATATTAACTACTAAAGAAAAAAAACAATAAAACAAAAAATTGAATTGATTTTACTAAAAATTTTTCTAGTAAACATGTAAATCAAAAAGAATATGAATTATCTCCTAAAGAACAAGAATTGATAATTAAAAAAAAGAATTGCAGTTAGAAAGAGAAAATTTAGAATTAGCAAAGTTACAAAAAGAACTTAATCATAATAAGCATAATGATTAAATTATACAAAAAAATCAATTTATTGAAATTTCTTTACAGTAGGTCCAGAGTTCAAATCCCACTGGCAGTAAAATTTTGAGAAATTCCTATGTATACATATAAATGCTAATATTAAAAAACAAATGCTAATAAATATATTGCGGTTTAAAAATTAAATATATAAATAATTTTATAAAATAATTAATTATTAAAATTTTATAATTTAAATAAAATATTAAAATAACTATTTATAATTAATAAATAAATATATATAGTGCTATTCTCAAAGTTTGAATTACAATTCAGATATTATAACTTGGGCAAATATTTAAACTTCGTATATTTGAGGTTGAACAATCGTTGTGTGATGAATAATTATGTGCCGAATAATTTGCGTGATGAATAATTATGTGACGAATAATGATTAATTATGAATTCTATATAAAAATCATTATTCGTTACAAGATTATTCATCACGCAAATTATTTATCACACCACGATTGGTCATACTCTCAAATATTTGAAGTTTAAATATTCGCCTAAGTTCAATTATTTGAATTGAAATTCAATCTAATTCAAAATTTAACTTTTACTAGAATTAAATCAAATAATTGACTGAAATCAAATCAATAGTACAAAATTTTATTATTATCGAAATTAAATCAATAAGTTTATCAAAATTGAAGTAATAAGAATTGAATCAATAAGGGAGACTCCAATTAATTGAACAATTAAAAAAATTATTATTAACTTTTTGAAAAATTCGGATTGACTAGTAATGCAAACGAAAAATTGACCTTGTACTTAATACTTTGAATATAAAATTTTAGTTGTTATACGTATGAATTTCCTAGTACTTACATAATTTATGTTCCTGGTTTCACGCGATAACGTCGTGCAGATACCTTTTTAGTTGCAAATAAATATTATTTTTTAGAAATTGGAAGCAGTAAACTTGTTACGATCCTTGTTATAAATACATAACGAAAAGACCAAAATTCAATAAAAAATATGGGGAGATATATCAAATATAGAATATATTTCGACGATGATTTCCTTTTTGGTTAAAATGAGCAATTTGGCTGCTCGTGACGATACACTGCTGCTACTTGCACCTGCACAAATAAATTTGGAAAGGATCATAGAATAGAAACCAAACAATTTATTGTACGTAGGCGTTAAAAAAAAGTAAAATCAAAAATTATTGTACTATATAAAATTTTTGATAACTAGAGCTTTATTTCAGTACAGGTTAATTTTAAATGGCATTTTTGTCATATGGTTTCATATGGTCTAGGTGCTGAGAAAAGACAAAAAATAAATTTGCGGAAATTAATTCATAAGAAAATACAGATTATACAGTAAAAGTTTATTAATGCAACAGAATTTCTTTCTTAAATGAAAAATGGTTCTGAGCTAATTTTAAACTAGTTAAACTTAAAAAGTCATTTTGAAAAAATTGTCGTATTTTCTTTTCTAATAATATTGCGCCAAGTTTAATTGTTCCTCTGATGTCGTAGAGGCTAATAATATTTGATATAAATTATTGATAATCATTTAGTTTATTTATCATTATATTTTTTATTAGCCATAAATTTGAATTTGTACATAATGAGTCATAATTAACTGTTACCTAAACGAATGGTACTTATAATTTCATCTGCTAGAAAAATCGTTATTTGAAGGCAGATGATCGATCCATATGAGGAGGTCAGTCAGTGTGTGACTGTTACTCTATTTTCGTCATTCATGCGAATTTACATACGTAAGTTATAATAAATTTATTACCGGTTGCGTAATTGAGTACAAGGCAAATACATAGAAAGGGAATAAAGAAATTATTGAGTGTTTGATAAATTTATTAATTGAAATTCCTAATAGCGTTCTACAGTATATAAACAAGTTTATAAACGCGTGTATTAATATGTGTGGTTGTTTTTATCATGCATGTGGTACACTACCTCAAATCTATTTTCAGGAATGTAACGGGTGACAATTGTTAAACTAAAAAAACATGGGAAATACAACTAATAATTTACTCTCGCCTAGTTGAGTTACTTTAGCGTAACGTTACTCAGAAAGCAGATCTTCGGGATAAGTATTATTCCGAAAAGAATATAACGGAAATTATATACATTTCAATTTAGCCGATACCATTTCAACTAATACGCACGCATGCAAAATATGAAGATTAAGGTTTAATATGCATCGTTTAAATTTTATATAAACTGGCATAATAAATTTTAAATTCCGCACTTTTTCTTTGCTGTAAAAAGTCAATTCTTACCATTTTTATGCAAGTTAAAGTTTCTATTATAATATAAGTATTGCCTAATTCAATATATCAAAAAACTATTATCCAATGTCTCAAGACGCAAATAATATTATTGATATGCCTCAGCTCTCCTCTGAGAATGTAGCAGAAAAAGTAGGGGTCTCAGAAATTAATAATAATGAGCCAATAAAATATCATAATTAAAACTTAAATTTTATTCTAGTTTTCTTCTGAACCCGAAAATGCGGATGACAAAGTAAAGATCTCCGAAAATGCGGATGAAAAAGTAAATATCCCAGAAATTGCAAATGAAAAATTAGAGATCTTTGAAGATATTCATGAATCACGATATAATATGAACAAAACTCAAATTTTATTAGTTTTTGTTGGGTATGTATTACAATTATTATTCCAATTATTCTGATCAACTTTTAAAATTCATATAAAAATGTTAATTATTTGAATACATAGTCTTTCACTGGCTATATTTTTAGCTGCTTTAGATCAAACTATAGTTGCAACTGCCTTGCCAGCTATTGCATTAGACTTTAAAGCACTCGATGAAATCTCCTGGGTTGGAACTGCTTATCTACTTACTGCGGTATGTTACTCATTTTTTATCATGTGATCTAATCGATACAGGATTGTGTTGTAATACAATTACATTTGAGTTAGCAGTTAGGAATATTGATTAATAGATCCAAGATATAAATTAAAATATCTATTAGGAAAACTTATAAAATTACTCTGCAACCTTATACAGTTGAAAGTCTTTATTGCATTTCAAATGTATACACACTTTTTTATTTATGGAAGGCGATTTATTTCTTAAAAAATAATTGTTACATAATAATGTAGTTACCAAAACAAATTAATTAAATCACTAATCGAATCGAATCGATCTTGCCGACGATTGTATATTCATGAAATGTATTAACGTTAACATCAACATACTTTCTAAATGTATATAAATAGACTGCTTTCCAACCAACATATGGTGCACTTTCGGATATATTTGGTCGTGTGAGTATTATTATGTCACTATGTTATTATTATTATGGTTATTATGTTGGATAATAAATTTAATTTTCCATATTATCATACAATTATTAAAATCCGCATTTTTAATGTAGAAACCCGTCTTCCTCTCTGCGATATTTTTATTTGAATTTGGTTCTCTTTTGTGTGGTTTATCAGTTAATATGGTAATCAATTTTATTTCGATTATTACTCTTACATTTTATTTCATTCTCTTACATTTTATTTCATTCTCTTACATTTTATTTCATTCTATTACGTTTTATTGCATCTTATTATATTTTCTTATAACATCTTATTATATTTTCTTATTACTTCTTATTATATTTTCTTATTACATCTTATTACAATTTCATACATTATCAACTATAATGTTTCATAGACCATGTTAATCATATCGCGTGCTGTTGCAGGTCTAGGGTAATTTTTTAGATTTAAATTTAAATTTCAACTTTATTTTTAAAACTTTTTAATAACCAGTATTTTTTTTACACGTCGCGAAATTAATAAAATTATTAGTGGTGGTGGTCTTATTGGGTATGTTTCTTTTTTTTCAAGAATTTAAATATTGAAATTATCTAATTTCAATTTTATCAATATTAAATTCTTTAGACTTGTATTGATTATTATTTCAGAAATAGTTCCAATCAAAGATCGTGGAAAATATCAAGGAATGATAGGTGGTTGTTTTGGTATTGCTTCAGTTGTAGGCCCATTATTGGGTGGTGCTTTTACCGATAGTGAAAAAACCACTTGGAGGTTTGTATTTATGTAAAATTATTTAAAGTCGCTAGATGCCAAAAATATATTTTTTTGATGGATTGCCTATTTTGCACTTATCCCAAAATTTTATCTGCAATATTTAATTAATTATAAACTTATCATTTATTATTGATATTTTTTAGGTGGGCTTTCTTTATAAATCTTCCTTTAGGTGTCATCACCTTTATCTCTGTCATCTTTTTATTACATCTTCCATCTCCTACGGGTTCTTTTTGGTCAAAATTAGCGCGTATTGATTGGTGGGGTGCACTTACTTTGGTTTCTGCCACTATTCTCGTTTTACTTCCACTTAATTGGGGTGGCTCAAAATATGGTTAGCTTATCTTTAAAAAATATTCTATTCATAATATTTATTCTGACTATATATTGCCACATATTGATTTTCATAAATTTTTTTAAAAAAATTTTCAGAATGGAGTGATCCCATTATCATTTCTTTATTATGCTTAGGTGGAGTTGGATATATATTATTTATTTTTGTTGAAGCCAGGATCGCTGAACAACCAATTGCTCCACGTAAATTTTCATCTTTATTATATAATTGCTTACTATACTTATATTTATTATTGTTATTAATGTTTTATTATAATTTATCATTTATTAGTTCACTTTTTCAAAAACCTTAAGATAGTTTCATGTTTTAGTGTAAATCTCTTTCATGGAATGACATTTTTTGCCTTAGTGTTCTTTGTACCACTTTATTTTCAAGTTGTAAAAGGTGAAACTGGTACATAAGTGATTTAATACTATTGTTATTTATACTCTCTGTTACTATTAATATTGATATTGTTCATAAAGCAGTTTTATTATTTTTATTATTTTTATTGTTTTTATTATCTCACAGCTACTACTTCAGGTTTAGAACTTCTTCCTCTTATCTTGGGTGTAGTCGTTATGGCCATATCTTCAGGTCAACTTGTTTCAAGGACTGTCTTCTTTTCTTACGGTTCACTTTGTATTCTTGGAAGTATTTTAATGGCTGTAGGATCTGGGTTAATTAGCACATTTGCACTCGATACAAGTAAAGGTCAAATAATAGGTTATTGTATCATTGCTGGTGTCGGCATTGGGATGATTATCCAAGTCACTGTGTTAGCTGGGCAAGGAATTGCAGAACCTAAAGATATTGCTACTGTTACTTCATTACTGGCATTTTTCAGAACAAGTACGTAATATTTTTATATTTTTTTTAATAAGTATCTTATTATTACTTTATTGGAGTCCCTATCTATTATCCATTTATCTATCGGATATCCAGCTCTGAATTTATTTGGATATCCGTTTTAATATTGATATCCAGATAATTATTCTAATATTTGACGGATTATAATAAATGAATATCCAGTAAATTCAGATATGGATAAATGGAGCTCTATATTGAATAAAATTTGATTATTTACATATTATATTACCTTTTATTGATTATTCACATATTACCTTTTATTGTTTTTTTCCTTTAAAGTGGGTGCAGTTTTTGGTGTAGCTATCATGGGTACAGTTTTTAACAATGTATTTAATGCAAATCTACCTTCACAATATCGAGGCTCTTTACAAAACTTTGGTTCATCTACAACTGGCTCCGGAAAAGCTCCTGAATTTATACTTACCGCTTTTGTATCAGCTTTAGATACCTCATTTAAAGTCGTGATTATTTTTGCAGGATTATCTCTTATCTCTTCAATACCTTTAATAACTGTTAAACCACATAGAGATAATTTTACCAAACCATCTCTACCAGAGATATGAATGGACATGTTTTATTATTTAAATTAAATGCATCAAACTAGAATTTGATTATTATTTTAGTTATGTTTAATTATTTGAATTCTACCCTTTTTTTATTATTTGTAATCTAATTTTATTTTATTTGCAATTTTTGAATTATATAACTTGTCCTGTTAGTATATGTAATTTTTAATAGCTGTATACAGTTTTAATTGTTATGATATTATTATGGTTAAATAAATAAAAACATAATGTTATCTCAGGTAGTTTAATATATTTATGTATAAACATTAAATTCATAATATTGATCAAAAAATTAACGTTAATGATTTTAATTAATACTGGTCAAATTTTTTTATTTACTTTTAAAAACTTCTTGTATATGTGTTCTTGCTACTTTCATAAGCCTGTAGTTAATTTTTATAATTTCTAAAACTTTATTTTTCTTCAAACTTATTAACATTTCCAATTATTTGCCTGTTATAATTTATCTGAATCTTTTTATTAAACATGATTGTAAACATTTTTCTTGCTTATTATTAATTATTTGCACTTATTTCTTTAATTTTTTTTTTTAATATTAAGATGAATACTTGTAATTTAAGATTTTATTGATAGTATATTTAACTAATAGTTGCATTAAAACTACAAGTTATAATTATAAAAAGAGTATACAACTAACTACTTATATAAGTTTAGTTATTGTCTAATTTAAATAGTTATTTAAAGATTTTATACTAGTTGTCATAACTAGAACCAATCTATAAGTTCTTTATTTAAACACTTTAGTTCTTATATTCATTCACTTACTTATACATACCAACTGCTCTAGTTAATACTAATGCAAATATGTTATAGCTATTAGATTTTTAAAGCAGTTTGCTTAAAACTTTTGATCTTGTATTAAATCTTTCAATGTCTTCTATATTTTATTTTATAGTTGATATAATAATTTTAAGATCTTTTAGTAATTTTTAAATTCAACTATTTGATATTAAAAAATATTTAGTTTTGAATACTAATTAATATATTTTAGTTCTTTATTAAGTTTTGTATATTGTTATTTAAAAAAACCAAATTTAATAATTATTTTTCTAATTCTAATTAATAATTATTTTTCTAATTCTAATTTATTTTTTTAATTCATTTTTCTAGTTATAGTAGTACTTTAAGTACTTTAGAAAGTTTTATTTTTTTTGCTTACTTAATTTTATTTTTTGTATTCTTTAGTATTTAAATATCTTTTTTTAAACAGTATTTTTTTAACACTAGTATTTTATTATAAATAATATTTACTAACTATTTAGCTTGTTGCTCACTTATGTAATGCTGTTGAAACTAACTAGTTTATATGAAATTTTGAATATTGATTTTCTTTTTTAGTTGTTTAGTTTTGTTTTGTAATTTTTTAATCTTTTTAGTTGCTTTATTATATAAATAAATTGTTCTTTTTTAATCTTTTCTTTTTAGCTTAGTAATTTTTTATATTGTTATTAAATAGTTTAAATTATTTTTATTGTTTTTTTTTTAAGCTTAAGAGTTATGCTAGTACTTTATTAAGATTTTTGAAACTATATACATATACAATTATATAGAACTTCCTAATATTTAAGTCTAACATTCCTCAGTTACTCTAATGGTACCTAAGTGCAACTTGCTGCACTATCTCAGTTAGAAATAAACTGCTTATTTAACTACTTAAAGTTATACTAGAAAGGTTTTTTTTTTGTAATAAGCATATTAATTGTTTTTTAAACTTCTTTTTTTATCTAATTTCTCTTTTTTATTTTATTTTTTTTTTTCTTTTGTTTATATATTTTTTTCTTTATTTTTCTCAGATTTTCATCTTGTATAAGAATTTTTTTATTCTATTTTTTATATTGAACTCTTTTTTCTATACTTGATCATAAAATGTATTTTAAACTGTTTTTATTATTATGTTTACACACTTCTTATTGCTTGTCAGTTTAGAAGTTATTCTAGTTTTTTTCCTACTACTAGTATCATAAGGCTTCTTATTACCACTTTTTTGCTTGTAATTTTTTTTGCTTCTGTTTTTTCAAATATTACCTTATATAATACTTGTAATAGAATTTTGTGTTTTTCTTTTTTTTTAAGTCTATTTTATACTGTTGTTATTGTTACTTTTTGAATCCATTTTTATAAACATTTTTGCCTACTACAATTTGATAAGAGTACTTAATCTTCTTTTTCTCTGTCTTGACAAACTTGACACACTGCTGTTGTATATATTTTTGGTTTTTTTCTATTTAGCTCTTTAAGATTTAGTAGGCTGTTTATTATATACTTAATTGCTATTATTTTTCTTGTATTAAATTTTCTTAAAATATAATAAACTTTTTTATTTTGTTTATTTCTTTTCAGAAGCTTTACCAATCATGTAGTGTTTTTTCTGTTTTTGATTCTAATATTCTAATTAGATTTGTTTCTCTTTAACTGGTTTTAATTTTGATATTTGCAATTATTTTATATAGAAGTTTTATTAGTATATCAATTTTTCTGTTTTTTTATCCTAAGTAGTACTCTATTTTCTTATATTTAACCTTCTTTATATTAATTTTATTCTTACAAGCTGTTCTTTTTTTTGTAAAAAAATCTGCTTTATTATTTTATTTATCTTTACTATAACTTTTAATCTTTAATATCTTTATATTAATGTTTTTGCTTTTGATTAGATCTATTATATTTATTATTTACATCACAATTTTCCTCTTTAGAAATCTATATTTTCTATATTTTAAATTGCTTTGTTAATGTTTTTTAATATTGTAATACTATTTGTATATACTTTAATCTTTCTTCCTTCTGGTACTATTAGGACTGCTATTTATATTGCTGTCAATTTTACTATTGTTGCTAAAGTTTATTATTTAAGTCTTAGTGTAGTTTCTTCTTCTGGCCAGTCTCTTTTTTTTCTTACTTGTACCTAGTCAATACTCATCTTCTTTATATTGTTTTTTCTTCTTTCTTGCATAGTGTAGAAAATGTATTTATCTTTATTTTTCTTCTTATTTCTTATTAGAAGTTCTGTTAACCAGTTTGTAATTATACTGTTCAACTTTTGTTTTTTAATTAACTCTATCTTTAATTTTTTTGCTTACTTTAGTCCTAATAATTTTCTTTCATCTTTTTTCTATTTCATTGTTATTCTATTTTCTAATATTTACCTCAATATTATATTGATCTTATTATTACTTTTCTCTATTAGTATCTTTGTATTATATTTATACTATAGTCATATTTTATTTATCTCTCATATTTGTCTATTGCCTATTCTGATATGTTTTCATAACCTCTGTATTTAATTATTTCTATAGATCTTTTTTTTTTATTATATATTAGCCAATGCTCTGCTAACACCTTACTTTTTTTTTTTATTATTTTGCTAAAATGTTAATTATATTTTGGTTTATATATGTTCTATTCTTTTTTCTTTGGTTTTTTGATATTTTTGTTTATATAATCTTTAATGCCTATATATTGAACTTCTTTATCTTATACTAGTTATATATCTCTCTACTTTATTGCATTATTAGCATCTATTTTTTTATTTTACTAAACTAATTGATTTTTTTCCTCTTATATAACAGTTTTTAAAAACTTTTAAGCTGTTTTTATATAATTAAATTATTATGTTTTGTATCTACAAATTGGTTCAGATATAGCAATCCTATTTATTTATTATACTATTACTCATTCTTCTAAGTTTTGTTTCTATTATATCTTTTATTTTTTTATTATAATTATATATTTTTTATAGACAATTTTTAGCTTTAATGCTTATTTCTATTTCTTTTAATCTAGCTAGTATTCAGCAGACTAAATTATTTTTCTAATTTTTTTTTTAGTTTTTTTTAGAGTTTTAAATATTTTTTAATAAGTTTACATTTTAGCATTTCTAAGTTATTCTAAGTCTTGTTAATTTAGCAAGACTATTTTATATATTAAGTTTTAAAAAAAAATTGCTTATCTGGCAGATCTATCTTAACAAACAGCTATAGTCTTAATTTTGCATTATTATAACATTGTTTTAGTTGGGTAGCTTGGCTTTCAAGTTTCTTGAAATATAATCAATGCATAATAGTTAGCTTATTTCAAAGACATTCTTGCTATAAGAAGGCATGAGTCAGGTTAGTACTGGGTTAGAGCAACTTTGGTATCCATTTTTCCCTTAACACTAATAATACTCTTAATTTAATCTATGCCAAATTATAACTGCCTCATTTTTACTTTTAAATAATATTATATTATATTAATAATTTTATAATACATTTGTTATATTTCTTCTATCTGTGTTTTTAACTATTTAGCCTGTAAGTAGAAATATTAATAGCTTGTATTATTTCATATTTTGATTTGATTTGATTTAATTTGATCAAATATTTGAGTTCAAATCAAATTCAAATCTGAAAATTTCAAATTAAATAGTAAAATTTTTATAAATCAAGTTTTTTTTTATAAATTAAAATTTTAAATTTTTTTAAAAATCAAATTATATTCAAATATTTAATTCAAATATTTAATCAAATCAAATCAAATCAAATCAAATCAAGGATATGTTTGATTTGACTAAATTTAAATTAATCCAATATTTGATTTAATTTTGATTTGAGAAATTCTAATAGTTTGGTTATAATTAGCTATGTTTATGACCAATATTAGTTTATTACAATTTTAAATAATCAAACTAACTATTATATTTTGTTATTTATTATTGTAATAATTTGTAAAATAATTGTTATAATAAAAAATGATTTGATTATATAAATTCTAATAAAATTATTATTATATATAAATTTAAATAAATTAGTTAAATAATATTTAATAAATAAATATATATACTAAAAATAAACTATGTAGTATATAGTTTATAGATAGTTAATAACTTTGTTCAATTTTTAGTAATTGATTAATTTATATAACTCTATTTATTACATATTGTTATATATTATTTATTTTTTTTTTTTAAATATTAAGGTGAGTACTTGTGACCCAGGATT